GTGTAGAGACTCTGTACTGATCCATCTGTTTCTCCTTCTGCAGGTGTTTTCACTGCTCCACTCAGAGGAGTCTATTACTTCAGGTTTAATTTACTTGGAAACAGCGCCTCACACTGGATAGGTGCATTTCTATTCAAAAATCGAGAGGAAATCTTATATCTGTCTGAATTCCCCAATGGAAATAATGCCTATGTCTCTAATGCTGTCACTCTGCTGCTGGAGAGAGGAGATCTTGTGTATGTTAAGCTCAGAGGTGACCATCAGGTGTTTGATGACAGTAGCATCCATTCAGTTTTCAGTGGCTTTTTGCTTTTTCCCATGTAAAATGGTTTGACAGTTGAAAAAAAGAGAAAGTTGCCTTTGTCTCACACTTCTCATGCAAAAAAAAAAAAGTTCTATGTGATATTTTAAACACATTTTGCTTAATTCTGAAGTGTATTTTGAAAACTACAGTACAGACATACATTATTTGGAGTGGTCCTTTGTAGATGATTAATAAACTCTTTACAGCTTATCTGTGACACATCAACAACATATCAGTGAAGTAGCAGCAGTGAAGCATCTGAATAAGATCTAAGATGTACTGTTAATACATTACTTTAAGTAGATGTACTGTTGATATTTCACATAGTAAGTAGTAAGTAAGTAAAGTTTATTTATATAGCACTTTTTTACAACAGCTGTTGTCGCAAAGCAGCTTTACAAGGAAATCAGCATTACAGAAAGAAATCCTGGTCCAAGCCCCCATGACTGTCGCCAGTGGCGACAGTGGCAAGGAAAAACTCCCTAACAGCAAGAGGAAGAAACACTGAGAGGAACCAAGACTCAGAAGGGGAACCCATCCTCCTCTGGTCGACACTGGATAGTAAACATTGTTAGTACAAAAACAGGGAAAACAGGGGGAGCAAATGATTAATTTGATTAGTTCATGCAGCAGCAGCGGCAGCAGCAGCAGCATCAGTGGGGTCAGGTTGTGAGGGTGAGGTTTGCACGGCGAGCAGTGGCACCCGATCAAGGCAGAAGAGGCAGCAGCCTCAGAACGCACAGGATGGGCAGCTGTTCAACTCGGCAAAGGAAAGAAAGGAAAAACACACAGAGTCAGTTTTGCGATGGGACCAGGACCTAACCTGGTCATTTCATTAAGCAAACCCTAACTTTTCCCAACCGTGCCCAAATCCTAACCCTCAACCTGGTTCCAGTCCTAACTGTAACCTTAACCCCAACCCAAAATCTAATCTAAACCCTCACCCTGGCCCTAATCCTAACCCTAAACTTAACCTCAACCCAAAACCTAATCCTAACCGTGGCACTAATCCTAACCCTAACCTTAACCTCAACCCACAACCTAATCCTAACCCTCACCCTGGCCCTAATCCTAATCCTAATCCTAACCTTAACCTCAACCCAAAACCTAATCCTAGCCCTGGCCCTAATCCTAAGGGTCACCTTAACCTTAGCCCAAAACCCAATCCCAACCCTCCCTCTGGCTCTAATCCTAACCCTAACCTTAATCTCAAAACCTAATCCAGTGAAGCTCCAGGTACAGAATGATGTCAGTGTGTCTGTATCAGTTTGTTGAGGATGTTGATGGTCTGTATTAAAGCTGTTTCATGTTCAGTTCCGCTCAGATTAACATCTACAGATCTGAACCAAATAAAGTGAAAAACAACTGAATTATAATGAGATTTTATTTACACAGTTAATTAAAAGTCTCTTGATAATCTACTAAATGTATTCATTGCTGCTACATTTTTGATATGTTGTTGATGTTACTGAGAGGATTTATTTCATCTAAAATTGACCACTCGAAAGAAAATGTCACCGCTTTTCACTCAGTTTCCTCACCAGCTGGGACTCATGAAAATATGTTTACAAAACAGTGAAGCTGACTGAATATTACTTATTACTATGTCTTGTCTTTGTACAGCTTTTGTTTAAATGTAGGTCAAAGTGGATTTATAAACCACTGTTTTCTGTTTTTGCAAGGAAACAACTGTTTAAATGTGCAAAGAGCAGTAATGATTTTATGAGAATTTACAAGGAGGATACAACAGTTTGCTCAGAGAAAGACTTTACTGCTGTTTACAGTTTACAGTTAGGAAGACTTTATGTAAAAACATCATTCCCTCATTGAATACAGTGCCAGTGGCACATTGCTGGTGCTCTATGACAACAAAGGCCTCGGATGGTTGCACAGCTGAAGACTTGTATAATGGAAGAATGTCAAAAAACTCCATATTTAAGACTGAAGAAATTCCCCAAGTGTTTATTAAACATTGTGGTAACACTTTATTTGGATGCTCCACTGTAGATGCTTGGTAAATGCTCAGTATATCTTTAAGTAAAATTCAACTAAATTACTGTTAAATGCAACTGAACTGTAAGTGGAGGGTTATTTGGAGGATCCACTGTAGAAGCTTTGTGAAGGCTCAGTCGGTTTATAAGTAACATTCAACTAAATATCTATTCTCCAGGGTATATTTTGGTTTGTCCATCTGAATTTACATGACATAAGGCAAATTAAGTGTGCTTAACCCTAAGCACAATGTTGTTGATAATCAACTGAACCTCACCAGAAAGTTTGTTAATGATTTAAGTATCTGTAGAGCATCTATTGGGGACCATCCAAATAAAGCGTGACCAATATTGTTAAAGGGAAAAATGCTGTAACACAAGGACACAACGATAAACCTGCATCTGTCCCAAAATAATGTTTATATCGCAAGATAAACACACAATAAAACACCAAACATTGTGCTTTTGTCCTGTTTTCAATTTAATACAGATCAAACCATTTACTAATCACTGCTTTCTGTTTTTATTAGCATTTCACACACTGTCCCAACTTTTTTGGAACTGAGGTTTGTAATCAATTAACAAACTGGGTCGTTTTTCACCCACCTTTTTGGTTGAGTGCCTGTCAACAAAATTGCTGACAATTTGTTAGCCTCTCACTGCCCCATTATTCAGTTTCTGACCACACGACCACTCCTACGTTGATTCACTACTTCTAGCTTCTACTTCTTGTTCGGTTGAGAGTGGTCAAAAATATCCAGCCAATAGTGACTCTGTGGTCAGAAATGGGTCTTTAATGAAGGGCAGGAGAATGGCTGAAACAAACTGTGAATCAACCCCATGTCAATGGTGTAGTTAGAAAGGGAGTGTTTTTAATAAAGTGGACAGAGAATATAAAATTTATAAAGATATTCGTAACTGAATGTCTACTGACACCTAGATTGAAGCATAAGCTTAAACTCGTGCTATGTTTACAAAAACATTTACACCAATTTTTCTGATGTTTATGAGCTCATTTATAACCGTTAAAACAGTGAAAACAGTAATAAACAGTTTACACCACATCAATAAACAGACATTTATAACTGTGTAAAAACTCAAACTTCAAACCGTCGTTTAGGTAAGTGATTCAAATCTGTCATTAATGTGACGAACCGGCGTCCTGAAATGACCCTCATGAGCTCATCCTACTCAGTAACGACACATGAATGAATCACGTTCATCATCAGCACAAACTAACGAGCAGAACGAGCTTCGCTGAGAAGATCATTAACTCTGATCAGCTCTCAGCTTCATTATTAGAGCGAGACGAAGGAGAAAAAGGTGAGATGAGCTGCTTTTCCACCTTTTATAGGCTTTAAGTTCTGTGTTGTTGTTATATATTACATACATATTCAGATTCAAAAGTTATGGCACATTTTAAAATTTTGTTTTTTTCTTTTCTTTTCCCAGTGGGTTAAACTCAGCAAATAAAATTCTGCATTAAACTGTGCAGAAAATGCCATATTGCCAAAGTGTGCTTTCTGAAGGGGACGTGTTAGTGTTCAATTACAAATTGGGACGTTACAAATGAGGGGGTGTTTACATATGACTGTATGCCCCTGATCCATATAGAAAATATATGTTTAGTGCCGGAAAATTCCATTTAATAAAGCCTCGTTATTAAAAGCAGTTTACACAGAAAACAGCAGAAAACCACTGAAAGTGCAATGGTTGTCACTGTTGTCATGAATCTGACTGTTACGTCTGAGCTTAACATACACATGATCTCCTTGCTGCAGCAGCAGAGTGGCTCCACCAACGGCGTACTCAAATGTTTCTTTTGGGTCTTCAGTCACATCAAAAATTTTCTCTTTATTTTTATACAAACACAGAGCCAGCCTGTTTGAACTGCTGTAACCAAGTACATTAAACCTGAAGTAATAGACTCCTCTGAGTGGAGCAGTGAAAACACCTGCAGAAGGAGAAACAGATGGATCAGTACAGAGTCTCTACACCACCAGAGAGAAGAACCAAACCAGACATCAGACACTGTCTCTGTACTGACTGTGCATTTACCTGTGATTGGGCTGAAAGCGTTTCCAATGTTTGTGATCTCTTTGCTGAAAACCAGTATGGTGTCGACACCTAAAGGCCCGACGTAGCCATTTAAGCCTGAAGCAGATGAGAACGCCACCTTTGGTCTGTCTGCATGAACGAATGAATGAATAAGTCATTTTTGACACTGTTTTGATGTGTTGAATTTTGCTTGTAAGACTTACTTGCATTCTCCTCTCTCAGTGCTTCCACACCCACTTCAGTAGAGACCACCCTCCCCTCCAAAGCTGTGAGACACACACAACAAATAAATAACTATCCAACCAGCTAAACGCAGAATCAGATTATTGACCAAATGAATCAGTTTCATTAAAGCACCATTGAGAGTCATGATCAGCACTAATACGAGTAAAGAGTGTAGTGACTTTACACTGGATGTTCAATAAATAAATAAATAAACAAACTTGGTCACGATCAGATTAAGGACCAACTGAACCACTTTCTTTAAAGCACCAATCAGGAATCAGAACTAGGACTGAATCAAGACTGAAGCAGTGACTTTACACTTTTCACAGTCTTGTAGTTCTGCTGTCTGCTGTGTTTGTAACTGTTACTGTAGTTTTTGGTTGAGGGTTAATTTTGTGTTCATTGTAGGAATCAGTAGAGCCTCTTCACTGACATGGTTCTAATTTGCATAAACATAGCAGGGTTTCTTTCTAGTAGAGGAACCTAACAAGCATTCCACCTTCATCACAATAATATATTTATACTCAGTAATTAAGATGTGAGTAAAATTGATTTGGAAAGTTTAAAAAGAATAATTTTAAAAAGTGCTTTGGAGCCCAGCTTTGAAATGTTAGAACATTTTGCTTCTAAATCTAAAAATTTTGTCAGGTCCTGGGTGTGTTGGTTTGACACAGCAGCATATTTTATTCAGTTTGTCCTGATTTATTAACATACCTCCATTCAGTCGCTTCAGCTCCTCCATTTGGTTCTCAGTAGTCAGCAGTCTGTTGTTCATGGCTTAAACACAATAATAATAATAATAATAATAATAATAATAAAAAAAAACATTACAGTTATATGTAAAAGATTGGATGCAAAAGTTTGAACAATACTGGTCAAATTCCATGTTTTCTCGGTTTTTAAAATGAAAATAAGTGAACACGTTTTTACAGAGAACACATTTTATTAAGGCATCCATTTTCTACAAATTTTATCACACGACTTCTTTTCATTTGCTGAAGTGAAACAATTTTAACAACATGTGAGCTGACATATAGATTCAGCAATAAAGGAAACATTTTGTTGAGTTGTCATTCACTGACCAGATAAAAAAAAAAAAAAAATGTGACTAAAAAAATTACTTGGTTTTGCATTTTTGCTTAAACTAAACCAAAATCTCCCTTAAAATGATCTATTAAAATCCATGATGTGACCTGCTAGGTCCTTGTGGAGCTGGTGTGGAATGACCCAACAGCATTTTTAATTTAGTTTGTCCTTATTTTTATTTATTTATTTATTTTTTACCTGAATTCTCCAGTGTCAAGTCCAGCAGTCTGTTTTTCAGAGCTTAAACACAAAAATAACAGCAGAAGCATTTAAGTGAAGCAATGTTAACCAACATAAAAGTATGTTAATCATTACAAAACAAAATGTAGACATATGGAACAATTTAAACCTGATGAACCATTAAAACTTTTACACATCACTGCTGTTGGAACAAAACCTTGTATCTCCATTTTTGTCTATTTTTCAGTTTTTGACATAATTTGAAAATACGTGTTACCCCTTGTATTATCTGTGAATTTCATGATGAATGAACCAAAAGAAACGACCCAAAACAATGTGGAAAAATGTCTGGTTCCACAGACTTACATTAAAAGTAAAGTAGGTTTTTTCCTTCTCCTGTAGAGTTACCATTTTTTGAGATTTTCTTCCAACAACAGCGATTTAAAAAAAGTAAAATGTTACATTTTGCAGAGTTGCTGGACATTGACTGATGTTCATTTTCTTCCACTCTTGTTACGGGTTCAGGAAAATAATTTAGAATTTTTTTAACTCACTTTCAAATGTCTGGATTTACCTGTGTTCTCTTTCTTCAGCTCCTCAATCTGACTTTGACTAGACTGCAGTCGGCATTGAGCGGAAGTGAGCTGCACCCTCTGCTCCACCACCATGTCCCTCAGCTCCCTCAGCTCGGTCCACACATCAGGCTGGATGCTGGTTTGGTTTGGATTCAGCTCTGATCTCTCCACATGACTCTGGTTCTGAAGCCAGTTCAGTCCAGACTGTGTGTCCTCCACTGTGAGCTGGTCATCACCTCTCTGGAGCTGAACACAAGACAAGCAGAACCAAAGCAGAACCACACTGACCCTTATCCTGAGATATTTACAGTGTATAGAGTCTCTCACTGGAGTCCTTTTATACGGTCACTTCAGACTGAGTGTCACCACGAGTTCAGATAACTAGTGTTAATATTTAAAAGCTGTCCTTGAGATGTCCTTTTTTTAATCATTGTATTGTATTTATGCCACTGAAATTTTATGACTGAACACTAGATACCAGTATTGTAAAATAAATGAAGGCTGGTAAGGCTCTACAAAGCTGGAGAGGGAGGAGCTGGAGATAATTCAGCTGCGCATTTCCTCAATTCATAACAGGGTTATTACCATTTTGAATTTTATTTACGTATTATTTTATTCCTTTATTTTGGGTTTCAGTTTTAGTTTAGTTTCAGTTCTTTTTACGGCTGCGTTATGGAAGCCATGAAGGATTAGATAGAAAGAAAAAAATTACATTTCTGAGTATAAGCTCTACTTCTCCATCACTACACTACTCAGCCAGAAGGTTAATGTAAAATAAATAAATAAATAAATAAATAAATGAATAAATAAAAGCTAACACTTAGCATGTTACCTCAGCTTTGACCACAAGGGAGCAGCTACCCTTCAGACCAGGTTAAAATAAACAAATAAATAATTAAATAACTGGGGAGCTAACTTGCTAACAATAAACAAGCTAGTGCTAAATCATTTTTTAAACCTGGTCAAAGCTTGTTTAGCATACCAATTGTTAGCCTTTTCCATCTCTAGTGAGTGATGCTCAGCAGTATGTTACCCAAAACTGATGCTGTCCTAAGCGTTAGCCTTTTTTTTCGTACAATAAAGAAAAAAAGGGAGAAAAAAAGGGTGAAATTGTAAAACTGAAACATTTGAAGTGTCAGTTCTAGGGATAAAAACCCTGAAGAGAATATTATCTGTCATAATAGGAACTACAGTTTTTGTTCTAGAGCTGTGACTACTAGAACCATAAAGTACTTTACAGTTCTGCTTAGAATTCGCACATGGTTTGATTGTAAGAATCGATTAATTTACCTACTATGGGTATAATTCAGGACTTATGCTTCTATCAAACACTATCAAGAGTATCTAGACAAGCAGCATGTGACACTCTGTAGACATGTATATATCATGACCATACAACCAATTTCAGTATTGCTTAACTCAGTTCCTTGCCTTGACGCATCTGCTTTACTCTTCAAGTGTTCAAACATATGCACTTGATCTTTATTAGTCCATTTGCCTTCTGTTATTAATCTCAGTGTCACTGATCTCTGCTAAAGCCTGAGTAGACTGATAAATCAATGTGATCAGTTATTAATCTCAGTGTTACTGAGCTCTGATAAAGCCTGAGTAGACTGATAAATCAATGTGATCAGTTATTAATCTCAGTGTTACTGAGCTCTGCTAAAGCCTGAGTAGACTGATAAATCAATGTGATCAGTTATTAATCTCAGTGTTACTGAACTCTGCTAAAGCCTGAGTAGACTGATAAATCAATGTGATCAGTTATTAATCTGTGTTACTGAGCTCTGCTTAAGCCTGAGTAGACTGATAAATCAATGTGATCAGTTATTAATCTCAGTGTTACTGAGCTCTGCTTAAGCCTGAGTAGACTGATAAATCAATGTGATCAGTTATTAATCTCAGTGTTACTGAGCTCTGCTAAAGCCTGAGTAGACTGATAAATCAATGTGATCAGTTATTAATCTCAGTGTTACTGAGCTCTGCTAAAGCCTGAGTAGACTGATAAATCAATGTGATCAGTTATTAATCTGTGTTACTGAGCTCTGCTTAAGCCTGAGTAGACTGATAAATCAATGTGATCAGTTATTAATCTCAGTGTTACTGAGCTCTGCTAAAGCCTGAGTAGACTGATAAATCAATGTGATCAGTTATTAATCTGTGTTACTGAGCTCTGCTTAAGCCTGAGTGGACTGATAAATCAATGTGATCAGTTATTAATCTCAGTGTTACTGAGCTCTGCTAAAGCCTGAGTAGACTGATAAATCAATGTGATCAGTTATTAATCTCAGTGTTACTGAGCTCTGCTAAAGCCTGAGTAGACTGATAAATCAATGTGATCAGTTATTAATCTGTGTTACTGAGCTCTGCTTAAGCCTGAGTAGACTGATAAATCAATGTGATCAGTTATTAATCTCAGTGTTACTGAGCTCTGCTAAAGTCTGAGTAGACCGATAAATCAATGTGATTATCAGTTATTAATCTCAGTGTTACTGAGCTCTGCTAAAGCCTGAGTAGACTGATAAATCAATGTGATCAGTTATTAATCTGTGTTACTGAGCTCTGCTTAAGCCTGAGTGGACTGATAAATCAATGTGATCAGTTATTAATCTCAGTGTTACTGAGCTCTGCTAAAGCCTGAGTAGACTGATAAATCAATGTGATCAGTTATTAATCTCAGTGTTTCTGAGCTCTGCTAAAGCCTGAGTAGACTGATAAATCAATGTGATCAGTTATTAATCTGTGTTACTGAGCTCTGCTTAAGCCTGAGTGGACTGATAAATCAATGTGATCAGTTATTAATCTCAGTGTTACTGAGCTCTGCTAAAGCCTGAGTAGACTGATAAATCAATGTGATCAGTTATTAATCTCAGTGTTACTGAGCTCTGCTAAAGCCTGAGTAGACTGATAAATCAATGTGATGATCAGTTATTAATCTCAGTGTTACTGAGCTCTGTTAATGGGATGACCAATCCAATGATTTTTTCAGCAGTGGACATGTTTGCAAGTGGTAAATTGTGTAATCTGAAAACTTTTCTTTTCATATATTGTAATGGAATACATTACTAAATATATTTAGGACACTGTATTCAGTATTCAACCTTCACTACTTTTTTAAAGTATTTTGCTCAGCTCTAGGCTTGACATGTCCTCTCACTTCTCCTTCTCAAGTACAATTTCTCAAGAAATCAGTCACTGAGTATTTGTATAATTACAGCATCTAAAATTCTGCTGACCAATCGCTGATGACCAATAAATCAATTTGCTTGACAAAGTTATAGTGACATTATTATGACAAAATTATAGTGACAAGGGGCTTCAGTAAAATTCCGTAGTGACTGTCTAAAATGTCAATTCTAGGGATAAAAACCCTGAAGAGAATATTATGTGTCATAATATGAATTACAGCAGTTTTTGTTCTAGAGCTGTGACTACTAGAACCATAAAGTACTTCACAGTTCTTCTTAGAATTTGCATTGGTTTGATTGTATATGTAGTAATACAAGGGACAGCCTCATAACGCCTATCAACAGGGTACTTATACATCTCAAATTAAGTGAAGGTAATTAAGGTGGCTCTAGTTTAAGAGGAAGTTAAAATAATGCTTCTTTGAAAAATGCAAAAGAAAGAGCTTCATTAACGCAAAATTTTTTGATATTGATGGTGAACATCAGATATTATGGCCAGTCGAGTTGCAACTTTATCATTAGTCATTAGTTGTGCAGCACTTACTTTCAACACCAAGAATACGGCTAAAGTACTGTAGGAAGTATTGCACAATGGAAGCTATGGAAGCAAAATATTCAGTTGTTGTTTTGTTTGCATTATCATCACCAGGAGTGCCACTGCATATGACAATCCCAACATGCTAACAATGGTGAACCTAAATTAGATGAGATAATCCTTTATTAGACCCACTACAGGAAAATTCACAGTACAACAATATATATATATATATATATATATATATATATATATATATATATATATATATATATATATACATAAAAAATAAACTAAAGATAAAAAATATAAACTCTATCTTTCATGAAAAATGAACAATATAAATATAAAAAATAAAAGAGTAAAAATTCTTTACATTATAAAGATATTTTATACACATTGTATTGAGTGTTGAGTAATACATATTGAGTATTGCCCATTTTAATATTTTGCATGCAGGTATGGTGATGAATTCACAGTTTATGTTCTGTAGGTGTGTGAGGTCTAATGGGGGATGGAGGAGGTTCTACTGGGAGCAATGCTGGTTGTACAGTCTAACCTCAGCAGGAAGGAAGGACCTGCGATAGCACTCCTTCACACACTTGGGGTGAAGCAGCCTGTCACTGAAGGAGTTGTCAAGTGCTGCCAGAGTCTCATGCATGGGTGGTAGCTGTTCTTCAGCATGGATGCTAACTTGGCTGACATTCTGCTTTCTCCTACTGCCTGCACTGGGTCTAGGGGACTTCCTAAGACAGAGCTGGTCCTCTTTATGAGTGTGTCTCTTCCTGTCCACACTTCAGATGCCACTATCCCAGTAGACCACTCCATAAAGTTGGCTGGTGCCACTACAGTGTTGAAAAAAGTACTCAGGAGTGCCACCTGCACTCCAAACAACCTCAGTCTCCTGAGCAGGTAGAGTGTGCTCTGGTCTTTCCTGTAAAGTGCTAATGTTATCTGACCAGTCTAGTCTATTGTTGAGGTGAAACCCAGGTACTTATAAGAGTCCACTCTCTCAATGTCCTTTCCCTGGATGTTCACTGGTGGAGGGAGGTGTCTACACCGAAATCCACCACCGTCTCTTTGGTCTTCCCCACATTGGTCAGGAGACAGTTCCATAGACACCAGTCCACAAAGTCCTGGGTCAGTTCTCTGTACTCTTTGTCTTCATCTGTAATGAGGCAGACGATCATGTAATCACCAGAGAACTTTTGTAGATGACAGTGGGGGAGCTGTACATGAAGTCTGCAGTGTAGAGGGTGAAGAGCAATGGTGCCAGGACTGTTCCCTGCAGGGGCCCTGTGCTGCTGACCTCCATGTCAGACACGCAGTCCCATGCCCTCACATACTGTGGTTGGTTGGTGGGGATCCAGTTTGATAGGTGGTGGTCCACCCCTGTGTTCTCCAGCTTGTTCCTCAAAAGCACTGGAAAAATCAAGGAACATGATTGTCACAGTGCTTCCAGGGTTCTGCAGGTGAGAAATAGCTCTGTGTGGCAGGTAGATGATGGCGTCATCCGCTCTGATGCCAGGTTGGTAGGTGAACTGAGGCAGATTCATAGGTGAATCAACTTCAGAGGGCAGAGATGGAACAGGACCAGCCT